CCTTCACTCCCAAGTGTGTTAACCAGTTTAAAAGCCTTCAATTTGATTCTAAACATGAGTAGCTCCTAGGTTTGGGGGATTTTATTTTTTTTTATGGCAAAAAGCATAATTTGTAAGATAATAGTGCAAATTTCACTAATGTAATCAAGCCAAATCTATTTTAAGTGGGTTGCAACCTTCAGTCAGACCCATATCTATTAATAAACTCCAAACAAAGCATGATATACCCAAATGTAGCCCATAACCCAAGGTTCCCTTCCTGCCATTGTTTTTGAAGCCCCAAAGAAGCAGAACTATGACAAGACAGCTGTCTTGACTCCTGTAGTAAAACACAGCAAGCCCTCAAAGCTAACAAGCATGAAGATGGGACATCAATAAATGGAGAAGCAGGTAATACAGAAAATAGATTTATTTTCTACTATGCTCCTAGCACGTTAGAGGACATTGCTTTTGCTTTCAAGGCTATTGCTGTCCATCAGAACTACAGCAAAGTTTGCCATATGGCCTAGGCACTGCAACTCCAGAGTTAAGACGGCTATGTGTTTCCCATGCAGAATCTGACAAATAGCTACTCCCTCAAGGGGTGGGAGGCCAGGGAATTACTAGGAAAAGGGAACCCCCATCTACATTCTGGAAGTGAAATATGAACCTGAATGGATTGAAGCAAGCATGTACCATCAACTGCCTTTGAAGACCATTCAACTTCCATGGCTATCCTTTGGCTGCCTACAGCTTCCAGCAATCCATCATTTTGGTGCTTCCTGCCCCAGGACTTGCTTCAGAACCTTTGCACACAAGAGCCATGAGGTCCATGAAGCCATCCATTCCTTTTCCAACCTATTTCTGCTTTGATCTCTACAGCATGCTGCTACACGTGTCCCACAAGCAGTGCACTAGCCTGTTTAACCACCTGCAGTCGGTGCTGCTTCCACACCCTCTTAGTTTGCTTCTCTGAGCTTAGAAACCCTTTATGCCATTTGTCATAGGCACAGAATAAACCAGCACTTAGATGCTCTACTGCTCTTCAGGCAAGAACAGCTCCTCAAACATCAGCTCCACTTTCCTGCCACCCCAGTCAGTCATTAAAGACTGACAAAAGGGGTGCTAATACACCAGACTGTCTAAGAAACCAAGCGTTTTTCAGTCTGCAAAACCAGATATGGTCATTTTGGGGATTAATCTCTCTGCAGTGTGTCTTGCACAGTCGAAGAGAACATGGCACAAGTTATCAAAGTGAAGTCAGATGTTTATTCAGCACGACTAGCAGTTTGGGAAGTTAGCGCTTTCCACCAACACGGGGAGCAGAAACCTTGACTGGTTTCACAATCTTCTGCTTAGGTGCTGCCTTCGTAGGAGCCTGCAGAGAAGTAATAAAGTATGAGTGAAAAGATGCAGTTTATCTGCAGTCCTGAGTGTCCATGTGTGTTTCAGATGCTTGACACAAGTTAGGTACCTTACATTGGGTCAGATTAGAATTGCATCTATCAGATTAGGAACATTTTTAGAGATGGTCACACATACACCACTGTAAGCCTACAGCATGTAGGATGCCAACAAATGGCATTAATTCCTGAGTAATAAAGAAAGAGATGCTAGCATTCATCAATACATTGTTACCACGTTCACAGACAGTGAAAATGCCACATCCAGGTGAATTTTTAGCTGTCAAGAATCTCTGACATATGGTCAGAAAGTTGTTTTACTGTAATATTCATTTCTTCAGTAAAAAAGGTTCATTCTGTTCAGCTACTGGGGTAATTTAACTTCAGAACAAAAGTTTGTTCAAGATCACTTCCAGAACAAACAAGAGAAGCAAATGCTTCTTCCAAATACAAATGGCAACGTCTCATTAAGTGTTGCAACTCTGTACACTCCTTTCCATGATTTCTGTCCACCTCCTGCATCTTACCTTTGCAGCAGAAACAGCTGTTTTCTTGGTTGCCTGCTTAGCCTTCTTGGCTTCTTTTGCAGCCCTGTAAATTCACAGAACAAGAGTAACAGTTGTTGGTGCCTGCCACGCACTGTCTCAGCTCTGTAAGCAGCTCTCCAAGATCAGGAAAGGAACACACTATGTCAGGTTTAGCCTCTGCTTTCAGTACCCTCTAGAGAGCCTGCTACACAGACACAGCTGTGTATAACCAAGGTTATTTTTTCACCCAGGGAGAGGGCAAGAGAAGAAAGACCCTTCTCTGCTGCTACTCTCTTGCTGAAGTTACTCAGTATTACCTCCAAATATACTGATTGGAAAAAAAAACAGAACAAACAAAAAAAGCTTATAAAACATGGAGCTCATCTAGGGGTTGAGTGCTTGTATGAAGAGCACGAACAACCTGGGCAAAGCCTGAGACCTCCACCCACCTCTGAGTTCTCACCTAATAGCTTGTTCCCTCTGTGCCTTCCGTACTTCGGGCTTCTGGTTGCGCTTGGCCATGATCTCGGCCAGCGAGGCGCCGGTGATGGCCCTCTGGAACTTCACCGCACGGCGCGTGCGCTTCTTCTGCACCTCCTCCTACGGGGCAGAGGTGAAGGCAGGCAGTTAGGGTCACAAGACAGTGAATAAGCTACAGAGAACTACACAAACAACTTGCTGTTAAGGTTGAAGCTGTTATAAAACTATGTAGAGGAGTAGAATTTTGCTCCTCTCTTTAGAGAGAAGTGGTTTCTTGGTTTGCCAAGCAGATGAATAGCTAAAAAAAAAAGCAACGTATTCTGCTCTTCAAGATAGTATTAAAAAAATAATTATTTTGAGAGAATGTCAGAAGTTCAGCCTTCTGTAATTCCCAGAAATACAAAGGTGTGAGGGATAAATTCCACTTGGATGGAATCTTCTGAAAGGAAGACACTTCCCACCTGTTCTAAGTGGAATCACGGTGCTGGGCAGCAGTGTAAGCCATCAAGCATCCCCCTTCCTTCTCCAAGCAAATTGGTAAAAACATTGACTTGGAACCCACACACAAGCCTTCCCAAGTGCTCTTTGCTGTGCAAGTTTAATCATGAACACTTTAAATACCTCATGCCACATGTATTATCTCATTAATTCTTCTCATGCAATGACAACTACCAAGGGAAGACCTCCTACGAAGTTACAGCCCAAAGTTTTCAAGAAGGGTACATGAGCAGTTCCCCCACCCTTTAACCCCCCGGTCAGCTCTCTGTGCTGTCACCATTCAGGAAGTTCACAAGTCTGTTCTTTTAGAAAGGAGCCATATTAAACGCATCACCCACCCTCTCTGAAACTAATTTTGAAGAACATCTGCCATTCATACAACTGCTGACATCTGCTGAACTGCCTGTGATTCTGAGCAGTCTCTCAAAGAAGTGATACAATACAAATATAGATGTTTTGCTGAAGTGGTTACCTTTCAAACACAAAGCAGTGTACAAACTCACTCAGTTTCACCGTCACTGGCCACTCTTCATCCACCAGCATCCTGGAGTTACCTCTATTCTAGCACACCAGTGGCCCCATCCCTTGGTGGAAAGCTGCAGAGCACCATTAGCTGCTGAATACTTACTGACTGCCCCTTCTTGTGTTTACGTCTGTACAGCACAGTCCAGTTGATCTGACGGGGGTTCCTCTTGGAAAGGAATGCAGACTCACATTTTGCATTTAAGAACTGAAAAACCTGGGAAAGTAAAGTATGTTGTGTCAGCTTTGTCTCTGTGAGAGACGTTATCATGGCTTCCATTAACACATCAAGTAATTATTGGATTCAGTGTTTTATAACAGTGATGCTTTTGTGTCTCTTTACGCAGCACTAACAATTAAACACTTTAGAACATAATTAAAAAAACAAAGTTCAGAATATCGTTCCATTGATCCAACTCATTTCTTACAGGACATCCTGAAGAAGCTTAATTTTTCTGAGGAGAGCTCTAACTACCACTTGCACCCACTGCTTCACTGCATTCTAGGCACAGCAAGAGTAGCCATGTCCAGCATCACACTGTTCAAGTGCCTGTCCTCTGGTAAATATGCACTTGTGTGTGAAACGACTCCAAGCTTGGCCCAAGGAACACACCAAGACCAACACTCCACACAGCTCCTTCCTGTTTAGCTTCACTAACCTTCTTGTCTAGAGTAACAGCTGGAATTAGCAGGCTGATTTTTTATTATTAGCTACACAATTCAACTTAAGGCATAAATTCCCAGGAGAGCACCAGTCTGTTTACCTAGTTGTCACTTCCCAGGAATTCTCTCACAGTGAAATTAATGTACTGGTATATCCAAACCCAAACCCTCTTTTTGTAGGTATGACTAATGCATTTTAATTTACAATAGCTCTATCTGCATGAGGCATGACAGCCTAGAAGCACTGTCCTCCTTTTACCCAATGATCCACACCCAACTTATTTGCAAATCGACTTCTTAGCCTCAACACATCTCAGCCTTAGATGGAGTACGTCCAAACACAACTCTCTGCACATCTCAATTACTTTAGCCCAGACGCTTGCAGACAACCTTCCCACAACCCAGAGCCCTCAACTCCAAACGGCGAGCTGCGGCGCAGGTCCGCCGGCAGCCCGGCCAGGAGCAGAGCG